GATCCTCCACATTCCAGTAGGCGGGGGTCACACCCACCACCTGGCCCCCTGGCGCCGTGTAATCCCATCAAAACCCCTAATGCATCATGGAATTAGCGGTACAGTTATGTGACACGTGCTTTGTCTAGGTTCCATGAATTTGGGGGTCAGGGTGGGACTTCAGGTGTCACTTCTCAGGGCTTGCACACTGTACATCTGCAGCATGTGTGAGTCTTTGCATTAGGACCAGAACTCGGGCCCAATAAATTATGTACTGAGAACCCATTAGTGGGTCTTCCTAAGCATCATACAGGATCGGGATTCCTCAGTGATTACCACCAAGAATAGCATCCTGAGGTTCGTGGTCATCTTTTGGACACTGAGTTGTTCACAGGACAGAGCAGGTTTTGGTATTACTGATCAGGCCAACCACACCAGGAAGGTCACGTAGGCATAATCGTCTTCCTTGTCCTCACACAAACGCTTCATCAGAAAGAATGTACATCTAACAACTACCTGTATACTTACAAATAATGCTGCTACAGTTGAAGGAATGGTCATCCTTGGAAAGTGTCTGAATAAACTCTGAAATTTGATTGACCTGTGATTGCACTAAAATAAGTCAGAATTGACTGAGTCAATTACAGTGTGTGTTTGGACCCAGGTTTTGGGCGTACAGTGGGAGAACAGGAGCCATCACACAGGGACACGGAGGGGCAGAAGCCTGGCTACAGGCTATAGGCTCTGGGTGCCTAGGATTGGTCAACAGGGACCTGAGATATGGGGACTCTCCTCTCCAGCTGCCCGTTCCCCCCCGAGCAATTCCTGTTTCCTGAGAGCTCCTCAGCATGTTTCCTGGGCTGGAGGAAGAGGTCCGACTCTCACAGGGCCCCAGGGACATGCCTGAGTGCTCTGAGCCACAGTCAGCACCTCCTCCCAGGGAGTCCACACACCAGCCTCCCCAAATTCTCCTCCATTCTCTACAGAGGCTCCCCCATGCAAATCTGCAATCAGGACCCAGGATTAAAATCACGTTCACGGGGCTGGAGCACAGCGGGTAGGGCATTTGTCTTGCATGCAGCCAAAATGGCCGACACAGGTTCGATTCCCAGCATCCCATATGGTCCCCTGAGTACCTCCAGGAGCAATTCCTGAGTGCATGAGCCAGGAGTAACCCCTGAGCATCACTGGATGTGACCCAAAAAACAAAAAAAAAAACACGTTCACACTCACCCCCACTCGGGCTCCCTCTCCCCCTGACATTGTGTCTGAGGTCATAGACCTTATGGGCAGGAGCATGCATCAGTGATGGTTCCTCCTCTTTCTGGTGGCAGCTCCCGGATGTGAGTATGCCCTGGACAGAGGCTCAAAGGTGGGCATGGGGTCTCTGAGCCCGTGACTCACTGTGGGTCTCTGTCCCCTGGTGTCCTGTCCCAGGTACAGCTGCAGGAGTCGGGCCCAAGGCTGGTGATGCCCTCAGAGACGCTGACCCTCACCTGCTCGTCTCCGGATTCTCTGTAACCAACTACGGTGTATGCTGGGTCTTCCAGGCCCCCAGAAATGGGCTGGATTGGATTCGTGGTATATGGAGTGATGGAAGTACATACTATAAACCGACTCTTCAGTTCCGAGTCAGCATTTCCAGGGACAACTCCAAGAACCAAGCTTACCTAAAACTGAGTAACTCAGTAACTGAGGACACAGCTTTGTATTATTGTGCAAAATACACACAGTGAGGGCAAGTCCCTGTGAGCCCAGACACAAGCCTGCTGAGGAGACAGGGGAGCTGCAGGGGTGCGTGTGACCACCAGGGGGTGCTGTGATCCAGGGATTCCAGGGATGTGCTTGGAGGCAAGGGGAGAGGGGGGAGAGAGGCTGTAAAGGGGGGGCGGATTCTTTACTCTTTAGTTCAAATATATGAATAAAATTTAATATATTACCTAAATACATTTTAATACTTTTTTTTTGCTTTTTTTGGGGGGGTGGTCACACCTGATGATTCACAGGGGTTACTCCTGGCTCATGCACTCAGGAATTCTGGTGGTGCTACGGGGGGACCATATGGGAAGCTGGGAATCGAACCCGTGTCGACTGCAAGGCAAACACCCTACCCGCTGTCCTATCACTCCAGCCCCTTAATACGGTCTAGTAATTGCTTTCTCTCCTATTACAAATTTGCTTATTTCTCTTCCTTTCTCAGAGTCCACTAGAGACTGTTCTCTCCTGCTAGGTCAGGTATTGATTTTTCTTTGATCAAGATCATTCCTTTTCACAGAAAGGAGAGATTTCTCTCCTTCCCTTCTTACTTTCACTGAGGGAACACGATGACAATAGTCTGAAAATTGATGCTTGTGAGTCACAAACTACCTGAGCTTCTTCCAGTACCAAATACCCACAGACCCTCACACTCTGCTGTGGCCCCTGTGCTTGATCTTCTTTCCAGTGGTCTAAACCCCCACCTAACTGCTCTCGGGAACCCCAGAGTGTGGTCAGGGGCGATTATCATTGGATACTGTCCACCCTAACGCTCTTCTCCGTGTACCACAGTTGAATAAGATTGTCTGTATTTGTCCTTCTCCCTCTGACAAAATTTACTTAATCTGATAGTCTCTAGTTCCATCCATGTTGCAGAGAACGCTGATATTTTGTCTTTTCTTTTTCTATTTTTAACAACTGCACAGTATCCCTTTTTGTATATACACCACAACTTCTTACCCATGAAACTGACTTTAAGCATTAGGGTCATTTCCATGTCCTAGTCAGTATATCAAATGCTTCAGTGTATGCTTTCTTATAACTTCTTAATTTGATATTTTCACCTTTTGGTGAAGGTATCTAGCTTGAATCAGTTTCTTATATGGAAACTCTATTTTCACTCTTTAGAGAAATCTCCTAACCCATACTCGACTGGCAGGGTGAGTATTAATCGGTACTTTCATTGTTTGTTATTATTTTTATAGCTTTCTCTTTGATAGTCACGTAAGATTGGAATAGCTTTCCCTCATTTTTCTCCCTCCTTTTAGAAAGCTCATGTGACCCATTTTAAAAGCCCAGGACTGAGAGTAATACATGACGCCTTTAGTCATGAGTAAAACCCATAATATATCCCTAGAGTGGAAGGCTACTGAGAGTAAATCTCTGTCATCACACCCTGCATACACTTACACAAACAGGAGGCACTGCAGAGAGCTTGAGGGAGGGGTGAAGTGTTGGGGGAGGAATAAAATGGGTTAAGGGGAAACACTGGAGTGAGGGGTTCATCCACTGTTTTGAGTGTGATTATCACTGCACAGGTTTGCCTATATACGTCAGTGCTCTGAAACATAAATGTCCTATAACTCATTATTCTGTGTAGGGCGCAGACTCAAAATAATGCTTACAGGGTAAGGATAGATGGAGCCAAAACTGATGTTAAGAATCACACTTCATGCACCTCCGTGCACCCTGGTTCCAGCATACTTCAGGTGAACACAAAATTAGAATAAAGACAACTTTTTCTCAATACACGGAAAAAGTTCTTGACAGTTGTATAGTCTATATTTTGTTTATATTGTTGGTTTTGTTTTTCTCTTCATTTAGTTTTGGTTTTAGGTCTAGACCCAGTGATGCTCATGTTTCTTCCTGGACCTGTACTCACGAACTACTCTTGAATGTTCTTGACTACATGGAACATAGGGGATTGAACCTGGGTTCGCCGTGTGCAAAGAAAGTGCCCTACCACCATACTATGTCTATGTCCCTGTTGGTTTAGTTTTGTCATTTGTGCCACTTTGGGCATATTCCTGGCTCTATATGCAGTGGTCCTGTTAGGTGCATCGGAAACCACATGAAGTGCAGGGAATGAACCTGATGAACCACATGCAGGGGTCGAACCTTCCTCCTCTACTGCCTCTGCATCTCTAGTTACAGAGACGATACTTGTGAACAGAGACCAACCGTGGGATGCTGTGAGTATGAACAGACAGACAGACTAAAGAGAGAAAGGGTGGCGCTCAGGGGACTAACTCCCTAGTGGACTGATAGCTCCAAATGCCCATCACATTGAGAGTTACTGCTTAGAACCAGTAATCGTCAGGAGACGACATCCTTAGGTGAATTTTCTAGCTTAGTCTGTCTGGGCTTAGCTCTTACACATCTGAGGGTCTTAGGTAATTGGGACAAATACATTTAAGCCCAGAACTATTTCCTCTGAGATAAAGTACAAAAACAGCCAACACATGGGCTTCCTACAGTGGAATTCAAAGCATCCTGTTATCCAGTCATTCAGCCTTACTCCTGATTCTATCTTAACACTTGGTTCCCAAAACATTGACAACTGTGAGTGACTCAGTGGATTACTTTTGTCTAAACAGAGGGAACAACTCTTAAAATATAATTTGAATAGTAGTAGCACCGTCCTCTCATTGTTTATCGATTTTGCTCGAGCAGGCACCAGTAACATCTTCATTGTGAGACTTATTGTTACTGTTTTTGACACATCAAATACGCCAAGAGGAGCTTGTCAGGCTCTGCTGTGCAGGCAGACTCTCTTAGTGGGATGGAGGAATCAAACCCAAGTTGGCCACATGTAAGGCAAATGCCCTACACATTGTGCTATCGTTCCAGCCCCAGTAAAACACATACCAGGGAGTCGAATATTCTAAGTACATTGTAAAAGCCATCTAAACTTTTATGTGTCATATTATATCATTAAATAAAAGTAATACTGTACACATCATAAGATTTGTATTAAAAATAAACATTAAAGAATATCAATTAAATTGGTTGTCATGTATTAATCGCCTACTGAAATAGTAGAGTTTCTGAATCTTTTCCTGGTCACAGGCACCCCCAGAACCCCTCACCTGCTCTGGAGTCCTTCCTTCTCTCTAAAAGTTCAAAGAGAACTTTTTATAGAGAAGGAGGACATGCAAATAAGACTCTCCACAGTGATGAAAACAGCCCAGCCCAGCCTCAGCTCCAGGAGAGGCATCAGTTCAGGAGTTCCCAGGGGCTCCATCCTGAACTCAGACAGAACCAACATGGCATGTGGGCTGAGCTGGCTTCTCCTAGTGGCTGTGTTAGGAGGTAATTCATGGGCGACAGAGACACGGAGCGTGGGAGAGATAGGAGAGGCAGATCCTCTGTGAGAGAAGACTTTCCTGACCAGGATGTCTTTGTGTTTGCAGGGGTCCAGTGTGAAGTGCAGCTGCTGGAGTCTGGGGGAGACTTGGTGCAGCCTGGGGGGTCCCTGACACTCTCCTGTGCAGTCTCTGGATTCACCTTTGGCAACTATGGGATGAGCTGGGTCCGTCAGGCTCCAGGGAAGGGCCTAGAGTGGGTCTCAAGCATAAGTAGTAAAAGTAGTTATATATACTATGCCGACTCTGTGAAGGGCCGATTCACCATCTCCAGAGACAACAGCAAGAACACGCTTTCTCTGCAAATGAACAACTTGAGGGAGGAGGACACGGCCCTGTACTACTGTGCAAGACACAGTGATGGAAAGGCCCTTTGGGCCCAGACACAAACCACCTGCAGAAGGAAGCAGGCTGAGCTTCAGGGGTGCAGGCCCTCAGGAGACTCTGAGGGCTCTCCCCTGAGGAAACGTTGTTCATGACCAGATGAATCATGTTTCTGTGGAGATCAGGACTGACCTGTCTCTCAGCTCTCAGATGACTGTATGGGTTCCTTATCCTGTGGGTTGTGGCCCTGAGTCCTCCATCGCCACTGAGGGCTGGAAGAAGTTTGTCTCACTCTCTGCCTCATGATGATATTTTTACTAATAGGACCATGACTTTCCTGGGGCTTGAGGAGCACATTATTCTCTTGTAGAAATTAAAATGACACTGTAGGTATTATGGTCTCAAGGGAAGGGTCGCTTGTCGGAAAGAGAAATCCTGGTGTCCACTCAGCTGTGTTCTGGTTCCTTCCTTCTGCTGTCACACACACACACACTCTGTGGCCACTGACCTCTACCCTCTGACCTGCACCATGTAGCCTCTACCTGGTCTTCCTAAACCTTGGAGTCCTGCTCTCTGGGAAGGGCTGACCTCCCATGCCTCATCCACTCACAAATGGACATTCAGTTTTCATCATTCCCTCTCCACTCCTCAGCCCTTTTAGAGGAGAGACCAGGTACTGTGACATGGGCAGCGCTGACACCTTCACAGTGAACAAGAGGCAGGACCCAGAGCATCGATGCTCTCCCTGAGGCCCCACTCTCCTGGCACCCCGATATATCCCACAGTCCAGAGCCCAGGTAACCTCCTTACACTGATTCTCCATATGGAGACCATAGCAGATATGACTTGTAATGAACTTCTCATTTTGGATAAACCTCAATTTCATGTCTTTCCTCCCAAGACAGAGAAGGCGTAGAGATTAGAATCTACATTCATCCCTCCTGTCACGTGGTGACCCCACTGAGCAGCATTCTTGTATCGGTGACCTTCCAAAGACAACTGTTTAACATCACAAATTCAGTCCTCTTCACTTAGAGAACTGGAACAGTTTTATATGTTCAATGTCAATAATAAAGGCAAGATTGAAAGTATGTTTTACTAGAAATCACACACTCATCCAAAATAACACATGACTAAATTGGGATAAAAATGATAACTTCCTAATCATCACAAAAACCTGCTATTATCTAAATACAGACAATAGATGTTTTCTCTGCTTTGGGGGCCATGCCTGAGAGTACTTCGTGTTTACTTTCTCTGTGTGTGCTGGTCCTCCCTGTAGTACTCAGGGTATCAGGATAGTGGCACTGGAAAATGAACTTGGGGCACTCACATGCACAGCATGAGGCCGTTCCATTGCGCCTGCCCAAACTGCTCTTAAGAACAAAATTGTAAAAGGGTTTCTGTCTAGCTAGGAGTATCTAATACTGAGAAATACAAAATAAATTATTTAGGGTTTTGTTCATTTTTAATTCTTTTTTTTTTGCAATTCTAAAGCATTTTTATTTAAGTAATCCCTCATGAGAAAGGATCAAGATTAGCCAATCAACAGAGGCATTTACACTATACAAGCCCAATTTTTTCCTGGTGTGATATTTTCAAAGATTGAAATTAAAAAATGTATAGTTTAGATTACATGTTTATAGCAGCATTTACAATTATGATTTTGATATAATTATCACACCTCATGCCCCCCAAAGCACAAATGACCCTCCATCAATGTCCCTATGCTACGTCAAGTCCACTTCTTCATTCCATTCCTACCCATTCCACAGGGGGCCTTGCTTGGCGATCTCAGTTCTGTAATCCAGGGTCAAGGGTGTCTTATCATTTGATACTCTCTACTCCCATTTTCTTTATATAACACAGATGAGTGAGATCATTTGGCATTTGCTCTTCTCCCTTTTATTTTATTCAACACGATACCTTCCAGCTCCCTCCAAATTGCCAGGAATTAGAAGATCTATTTTTTTCTTACAGTTGCATGGCGTTTCACAGTGCATGTGTGATACCTGTAAACATACCACAACTTCTTGATCCGTCCATTTGTCACTGGCCACGTATCCTGGTTATTGCAGTAAGCGCTGTCATGAATTACGGGTGGATGCATAGCTTTACGAAGGATGTTTTTGTATACATACCCCCAAACTTAACATCCTGTGGGTTTCATCTTCAATAGGATTTTCATTTTTTAATGGAAGACAGCAGTAAATAGTGCAAAAAGACTTGAAGTCGCACCTTTCAGACCTGAAAGTCATGGTTAGTGGGAGGAAAGACAGGTCTAAAAAAGGGATGTCAAAAGACCACGTGGCCTCCCACCTACCAGATGGTCAGACTTCTTCATCAAGATCATGCATGATCGGTTTGAGGCTCTTCATGTTCCTAGAGCGAACAGACGCCATTGGGCTACACTAGCATGCGACAGGGACAAAAGGAGACGTTATTGGCACCCGCTCGAACAAATCGACCATTAACGGGAAGTTAAGTGATTTAAGTGATTAAGTGAATAATTATCTCAGTCTTCTGGCGCTCTGTGGAATTAGGGGTGAACTTATTGGACACAGCACACTTAATGTACTCCATTCTTTGGTGTGGAGTGGGTAGAGACACACCCTGTCTGCTCATAACACTTGAACCTTTATCAAATGTGTGTATCTCAGAACCAGAAGTAGTATTTTGTTTCAACACTTTGTGTCCTGAGCCTCCACCCACACCCCCCTAAGACACACACACACACACACACACACACACACACACACACACCAAGAATCCTTTCAAGAACTGATACGATTTCTCTGTGATTACCTCCAAGAACAGGGTTCTGAGATTCTGGGTGGGGATTTATACACAAGGCAGAGCAGGTTCAGGTGCTCATGGGCAGGCCAAGCACACCCGACGAAGGTCATCTAGGAAGAAGCTCTTCCATGTCCCAACACAGACTCCACCAGATAGAATGCACAAATCCTCCCCATAAGCACTTTGACATCAACGATCACTTCTTTGTAGAATGGTGAGATCCTGGTAGTGAATCCGCAATACAGCTCACGGAGGATCTTGATGTATTGGGCTTGAATGCCCTGATTGGCTAGGGCTTCAAAGACCGCTTCTGTCTCAACAGAATCAAAGGCCTTCTTTAAATCAATGAACGTTAAACAGAGCGGCACCTTGAACTCCCGAGAAACCTCAATGAGTTTGGTTATTGTGTGCTTATGGTCGATGGTGCTGAATCCTTTGCGGAACCCGGCTTGCTCGCACAGTTGTCCTTCTTCTAGTGTTCTGCCAATCCTATTTAGGAAGACTCAAGTGAACAACTTGTAGATGACAGACAATAGGCAGATCGGCCGATGGTTGCCAATGTCATGGAAGTTTCCCTTCTTGAACAGTAGTACGGTCCTGCTGGTTTTCCATTGGGACGGAACCTTGCATTCAGACAGGTAGCGAGTGAAGAGCCGAGCCAGTGTATTGATGAGTACTGATGGCAGGTTCTTCAGGTGTTCAGGTCTGACCTTGTCTGGGCCAGGTGCTGTTTGTTTCTTTACCAACGAAATGGCGTGTCGGATTTTGGAAGGGAGAATGTTGGGAACGACATATCCATCCTGTGGAATTTGGTATGATGGCAAGTGGACATGGCTATCAAAGAGATTTGAGTAGAAGTCATGGATAATCTTCTCCATTGCCATTCTGGAGGATGTCATGGATCCATCAGGACGTCGGAGGGCAGTCATCTTGGTCTTGTAGTTGGCAAAGCACAGGAGGGCGTTATGAATACTTTTCCCAGCACTTCTGCTCTTCTCCCTTTGAGGTCTTCCTTGATCGCATCTCTGCACTGCTTTGCGAGCACGGACATTAGCTTGCGGTTGCCTGAGGCATGCGCCAAACCACGCTGGTGAATTAGCTCAAGAGTTTTCGAAGACAGGCTTTTTTTGTGGCTATCTCCTTCTTGGCGTTCCTCGCACAATCATGGAGGTGCTGAACCAGTCGATCGTATGCCTCGTCAATGTTGTCAACAATGGCATCTTCCCACGTTGCCACAATAGTGCCAAAGAGCTCCCAGTTGGTGGTCTTTCTGGGAGTTCTCTTTTTGAACTTTGCAGCCCTTTCTCCCCGCTCTGTGAAGTAGAATTTTGCATGAAGGAGACGGTGGTCCGATCACATTCGAAATTTTGGGACAACAGCGACATCGGTCAGGCAAAAGTGTCCATTGAATATGATGTGGTCTATTTCGTTGTGGAATCGTCCACCAGGAGACTCCCATGTCCAACGTTTAGATTCTGCCTTCTGGAACTGTGAGTTACCATGGATGGTCTTGGTCGACATGATGAACTCAGACAGTCTCTCACCCTGTTCGTTCCATTCTAGGCCATGGGTCCCGATGTGAAATTCTTAATGTGAAGTTCTTAATCTGTTTTTAATGGCCCAATAAATATCAATGAAATTCTGACCAGAATAAAAAAAACCCAAAAAACTGGATATATGTATCTGCCCACCTCTCATATGATGTAAGATTAATAAAACATATATAAAGCTCTTGTAAAAAACAATAAAAAAACATATAAAGTGGGGATTTTAAATAGATACAACTTAAAGTAGACTTTGAGGCAGAAAAATCTATGAACAAATTCTCCCCATCACTTATCAGAAACATGCAAATCAAAACAATAATGAGATATTACCTCATAGCAGGGAGAAGGGTATACATCACAAAGAACCAAAACATTCTGTGTTAGCATAGATGTGGTGGAAAGGCAATCCTCGTTCTCTGCTGGTGAGAATATCAACAGGATTGACCTCTTTGGAAAAAACTAGGATATTGCCCAGTATACTAATATTTGAGTTTCTATATGACCCAGAAATTCCACTCTAGTCTTTAATCCCAAAGTACCCAAAACTTTAGTTTGAAAATACATTTGCATACCTATAATTACTGCATCACAATATTTTATTCACAATAACCAAATCTAAATGAGACCCGTTTTATTTACTGTTCTTCCTGAATTAACATATGCCTCAGAAACCTGGACCCTACAAAAACAGAATGAGAACATTGTTCCGGTCTCCCAAAGAGGAATCAAAAGAGCTATGCTTGGAGTATCACGGTTCACCCAAATGAGAAAAAGAATTCTGAGTCCGAACCTCTGTCGACAGTCAAGAATCA